GACGCACCTGAGACTGATGATGATGTGGCCAGACTCTGGGATCCAACCATGCTTGAAAGTAATTTCTCTCCTTGACACCCCGGTTACACAAGCCAAACACCCTTGTAGACAAAAACCGGTCATTTTAACCAGAAATGCTTGATGAACACGCTGTAGGCCAAATACAAGAGAATAAAGATCAGCCTTCATCAGGTGCTTGCTGCCTGCTGACCCCGCACAGCTGCTGACGGCGGGTCAGCTCACCGTCTTCCCAGCTGGCCCAGGTCACTGAGTGCGAAGGGCAGCGCCAGACTTTGACCCCAGCCCCGTGTGGCTTCAGAGGTCACATTCCCAACCAGTGTGTCCTGCTCCCACTCACGAGCCCAGAACATGGCCCATCGCTCAGGCGCTCAGGTCTGGAAGAGACGGCGCCTTCTCCCACCATCTCTCTCTCTCTCTCTCTCTCTCTCTCTCTCTCTCTCTCTCCTGCCCCCCCCTCTCTGTTTTGTGGCTCTCTTGGAACCCTTTGCCCACCCTGTCACTTGAGAGTTCTCACACATCATCATCCCCAGCCCGGCCCCACACCCTGCCCTTCCGCTGGACCTTAGCGAGACGGCGGGTCCCCCCTGCTGCCCTGCTCGTCTCCTCAGTCCTATGGTGTCTGCGTCGGAGCTAACTAACAACAGGCCCAGGCCCAGGTGGGCAGCCCCGAGAGAGGGCCGGACTTGGGTCCTGTGAGTGGCCCCGACATCCGAGCTCCGGAGTCTCGGCTTCCTTCCCAAACCGATCAAGGCCCGGTTTCCGAGGAACCGGAGCTGAGCCTTTCCTCACTTCCTGGGGGTCTCGATCAAGACGCCTGGCTCAGCAGCTACCAGATCGCACGTGTGCCTTAACCCATGACCGTCTAAACCAGGCTTTGATTGTGGGGAGGGGATAGATGCTGGGCCCTGGATGCCTGAAATTGTGGGGTGACTTGTGGGCCTATGATGGGGGGAGTGGATCTGGCATCAGGGGCCTCCAGCCCAGGTTCCCAGGGCTTTGCCCGGGACTGGGCCGCCGCCGTGGTGACTGCACCTGCGGGGTGATGTCTGTGACACATATTTGTGATGCGATTAGAACATGCGAAGACCCACTGTCAACCCCGAAAGGGCAGGTTAGCATTCAGCACAGTCTTGGAATTTAAAGGACTTTCCTCATTAAAAGTTCACCCTCTTCTTGGTCACACTGTCACCCGCGCCCTTTTCACAGACTCCCTCGCGACAGCCGTGTGAAGGCGGAGTGAGAAGGACCCGGCCTTCGGGACCTTTGCTTCTCATTGGCCGACCCGGAGCTAAGAGACACGCGGAGTCCCGCCTCCGAGGTTCAGGCACGTCCGTTGGACGGACTTTGGACGGACAAGATCCAGGAGGCCCTGTCGTTCCTGATTTCCGGAGCTTCCTGCAGGCGCCGCCGTTCCTGCTGCCGGGCGCGCTCCTGGCGGAACCGGGCCTGGGACTGTGCAAACGACTGTGAGGAGACAGGCCACACGCCGGCGAAGGTCGTCAGCTCAGGGTGATTTTAAATGTTGGTGTCTTTTTTATTGATTTCAGAGAGGAAGGGAGAGGGAGAGAGAGATAGAAACATCAATGATGAGAGAGAATCATTGATTGGCTGCCTCCTGCACGCCCCCTACTGGGGTTGAGCCTACAACCCCGGGCATGTGCCCTTGACTGGAATCGAATCCGGGACCCTTCAGTCCCCAGGCCAATGCTCTACCCACTAAGCAAAACCAGCCAGGTGTTGGTGTCTTTTTAAATAAAAACTCTACCTTTGAATCCCTCGCTCCTAATTATGATGCGCACTACGCCCTGCAGCTCTCAGCATATGTGGGAAATCAATTTACTTTTACTGCTTCTTAATTCATACAACTGCTCCCCTCGGAAAGTACAGTTAAGGGAGAAGGCGGCTCGGTGCACTGGCGGCTTTCCTGCGGCGTCGGGAAAGGGAGGCTTTGCGGTCGCAGGTGCATTTATGGAAAGAAGCTTTGCTCGGACTCACGGTGACCCCGACACGGCGCGGGTGGGGTTTGCACATCCCCATCCAGAGTGGGCCCAGCGCTGCAGACGCAGGTTCTGTGGACACAAAGGGCAGAGACACCGGCAGGGGGCGGCCGAGCTAGGGAATCGGCGACTTTCCCCGTCTGCTCGGCGTGCGGGTCCCAGCGGCGGCTGAAGGCATATGGGCTGAGGGTCCCAGGGGGTCGGGAGCTGCCGGGGCGTGGAGGATGCTCAGCCGCATCTCTGGCCTCTACGGTCCAACAGCACCGCCACCCCCACGTGAAAACTGCACGTGCCCCCAGACACCACCAGTCACAGTGTCCCCTGGGATGGGAGCTAGCCCGCCCGCAGGTAACTGAGAGCTGCTTCTCTCTCTCTCTCTCTCTCTCTCTCTCTCTCTCTCTCTCTCTCTCTCTCTTTCGTAGATTACTGCCATCAGCCTACAAACATATTGTTGCACTTTGTATCAGAAAAAATGTCTGGTTGTTTTACTTCTTTTCAATGAAAGGCTGGTAAAGACTTGCCCGATTCAGCCCTGGCCGGTGTGGCTCAATGGATAGAGCGTCGGCCTGCAGACCAAAGGGTCCCGCGTTCGATTCCGGTCAAGGGCAGGTACCTGGGTTACAGGTCGGGGCGTGTGCAGGAGGCAACCCATCGATGTGTTCCTCTCACATCGATGTTTCCCTCTGTCTTTCCCTCTCCTAATCTCTCTAAAAAAATCAATGGAAAAATATCCTTGGGTAAGGATTTACAACAAGGAAGAGTAGCCCAATTCAGCTGATCTACACATCAGCACGGCCCCAGGGCAGGTCTCCACTGCCTCCCCCACAGAGAGGGGCTCGGGGGACTCT